TTAGCTTGTTTAAATCAAATCAAGCTCCTCTCTCACTCCATTATTCTGTATTTTGAAACCTAACTCTTCTTTCTCATTCCCTTCAACGGTAGCACATCTCTCTTTTCCTTCCCATTGCAGATGTCTCCTTTCCTCCACACAACAACTCTCTATTTTGCTTCCTACTATATTGAGACCCACAAGATTGAGATCTGCAACCGACAGATTGAATAGAGACCCAAGGCTAGCATTCAACGGTGAGCATTTGACAAACAACTCTCTCTTCTCCTCATCTCCTCACCTTTCCCCATTTGACAGACAGCTTCAAGACCCATGGCCGAGATCCACGGCTTCTCCTCCTCTTTCCCCTAAGCGAGCAATATTTGATTAGTATCACTTTCACCCACAAGCCCTTTTTCTTTGTAGATATTTCTGACTTCTACTTGAGCCTTCTTCATTATCTATGGTTGCTTCGTCAATTTTAGTATGGTTTTATTTTTCTTTTATTTTGGTTTTAGCTATGTAAAATCTATAGCTAGCTAGAATGATGAGATGAGAATGACAGATATTTAACTTTAAATTATTTTAATATTTTTTTCAGAAGAAATCGCGTCACTTTATGTAAAAAAAAGGATATGGTTTTTCCAAAAATCACGTCCCTCATAAAAGCGACGTGGATAAATTAACTTTCTATGTCATTCGAATCTATGTCCCTATGATAGGAATGTGAAATGCCTTAAAAGTGATATGAAAAGCTTTTTTAGTGGTAGTGCTTATTCTAACTAATGGCACTGGTTTCATAATTAAATTATTTTTCAGTCAAAAATTGGATATCCATTTTACAATTAACCTTTTTTTTTTAGAATTCAAACACGTCTTGGGTGTCCTAATTTTATATCAAGTGCCAAAAGCCATAAATACACCTTAGACCATGCTCAATAAACTATTACAAACATGTTCAATACACCACATTACAAACTTAACATTTTAAACACATTTTCAATATCCAACCCCTTAAATACAAAAACAGAAGGGAAAGCCACAATTTAATCCATCATTACACCAAATCAACATAAATTGTATATTTGCTGACCTTTCACTTACATTAGTATTTTGACCCTCTTCTAAAATTCACAATGAATAATACATATACAATCTTGGAGCCCAAAATACACAACATAATTCAACAATCTCATAATACAAGTAAGCCAAAAATATGAATTTTTCTTAGTTGGAAATATCATACAAAATTATACACAATAATAACCAAAAAGAAAATGAGGCCTATAGATAGGATAGTAATTTTATGCCTCAAACTGTTTCCCTTTCTCTTGTCTTGTTGAGTTAGCTCTTGTAATATTGAAGAGAAAGGGATGACTACAACCACTAAACAATTAAATTATTTCTAACTTATATTAATATATATCAATCAATTTAAATGCAAGTGGTAATTAATGACATTCACAAGTCAATTTAACATATTCAAACATATATTTACACTTTACATTTTTACGAGCATAAAATCACAAAATGATAATACAATAGCTCGTTATACATCGTTATATCACCAATCACATCACGAAAGTCATAATATAAACAACCATGTGCCTTTTATATCATAATATGCATGACTACATATTTCTTATATCCCCCTTATGTCTCTAATATGAAACCGTAAGCTATAACACACTAAGATCATCTATAAGGTGAGACTACCCTAACCATTCACGTGTGAAAGGCTACTTGGCTAAGGTTGCCTAACTCATTTGTAGGTCACAGTTTCCTTTCAATCTCACACTGTGAGGTTTCCTTCTTCCTAAACTTGCTTTCTCATCAAACAAGTAAAAAATTAGTTAGGTTCAAGTCTCTCATTGAATAAGTGGGATGATCTCTCGTCAAGTAAGTGGGACAATAAGTATAAACTAATTCAGGCAAACCATCGGGCTCTAATAGAAGCCTTAACATGTGGATTTCAAACTTATTACTCCTCTTCGTAGGCCAACTCCTTCCTTTCATAATTATGCATAGCATAATGATGTAATATTTTACGACATGCAAATATTTCACACATTAACATGCCAACTCAATTCATCATACTTTACATTTTCTTATTTCACAATTAATCATAGAACTTCCCATCACACATAATCATTGAACATCCCATGTCACACAATCATTGAACTTCATTTACAAGTAATCATTGAGCTCCACAGATTGCATGATCGTTGAACTCCTCATAACACACAATCATTGAACTTTATTTATATATAATCATTAAACTCGACTTAACACATAATCACTGAACTCCATAAACACTATTTTATTGAACATTGAAAAGCACAATATATGATTTTTCAAATAATTCATGCCATACTTGCATCTCAAATAATTTTACGCACTTCAATTATAATATTTAAATTATTAAATTAATTAACACACATAAGCATAAGAAATATTTTTCCCCAATTATATCAAATTTTTGAGAGGTCAAATATTTACCCCTTAATTACACACTTTCAAAGCTTGAATGGTTCCCAAACTTGATTACTCTATATTATTCATAACAACAATCATCAATAACCTCCTTAGGAGAATTTCCAACACCTAATTCACACTTCAACATTCTTCAACATTCTCAAAATTCAATTTCCTCATATATAAAATGACCCATAGGATTTATTAACTTCCTCTAACTCCAAGTAATTTTATTAAACTCCTAACTAACCATTAATGTCTTTACATTACATCAACCACCGCATTAATGGTGAAATTTTGTGTATTTATGGCTCTAAACTACCAAAAACACATAGAGCCATAAATGTTAAGTTTAAATAACCTAAATAAATCCATCAACTTTATTTAAATCAGTAGATTTGGATCCATAGCATTTATAGATTGAAAATCATCTTTTCTAACAAGCCCTAACTTTCAACTTCAAGAAAATAAAAAAGAAAAAGAGATTCAAGCTTAGGAGACTTATCTATAGTGCTAAAAAACTTCAAAATACTCCAAATGCTTCAACCCTAAAAGCCATAACAAAGGTTTCCCCGAGCTCCTTAGTTCCCCCTTTGCTTCACCTTTGTTTTCTATCAATTTCATGACTTTATTTTTGCAAAAATGCTACTGTGCACTGTGACATGTGATACATGGAGGCCTTCCATGCTTTTGAGTGACTCATACACCACGACATGACATGCATACACTGTAACATGTGGTATAAAGCCATTCCTATTTGTTTCACTTTTTAACATTCGGGTTGCTTGACTTCGCTTCGGACTTGATCTTAAAACTAAAATCACAACCCATAAGACCCATAAGTTCTCCATAACCACACTCCATATTTATTTACTTATTTAACTTCATTTACTCAGTTAGTTAGGGATTAAATTCTCCAGAATATTACAGACCTTGAACTCATTTGTTGTGCAAATTGTTCCTCAACTTTTGAATATGATGCAATTAGATTCCTATTATCAATAGTTAACTTTGATCGTTTGTTGACTAAAAAATGATAAAAAGTAAATCATAAATTATAGATAAGGACTAAAAAAATTTGTCCTTTTTTACTTTTTTTATCCTTGTTTATAATTTTTGGATCCTTTATTATAACTTTATGATCATTTTTTGTAATTTTTAATTTTTTTCTAATCAACTAATGATCAAAGTTAATTTTTATTAAGGATAGAGACAAACTGTACTGTTTTTAAGAGTTGAAGGAGTAATTTACATAATAAAGCAGTCAAGATCTTTGATATTATTGGATTCAAAATTTAAGAAATAATTTATTCATTTATTTTTTAAAAAAATAAAATGGGTTAACTCGACGAAAATCAGAGCCAACGTCAACCAAATAATGCACGCATTTCTGCAGGGACCGAATGGATTAATCGTCATTACGTTTTCGTTATTATATTCCCTTCCTTCTCGTTAATCACTTCTAAATAACTAACTAAAATTAAAGTGAATTAATTAAAATAATAAAATTATTTTAAAAATAAAATCACTTTCTAATTTTACTCCTAAATTTAGCAAGTGTGAAATGATTTTTCTCCAAAAGAAAATAGTGCAATTCTTTTTAAAAAAAATTTATGAATAATTTTAAAAGTGTAGATCAAATGTTGAAAAAACCAGACAAAGTAATTTATATAAGAAACTAATATAATTTTTTAAAATGTGACTAGTAAGAAAGATAACTATTTTTCTCATCCTTTTTTAAGGCATTTTTCATCAATATCAATGTAAAAAATTAAAAATAAAAGTGTAAAATTTTAAATATATTTTTATATAATAAATTTAAAACGTGATATTATATTATTTTTTATAAAAAATAATTTTAAAAATACATTTTAAACGTTATTTAAAAATTTTATAAATACAACCTTTTATAAATGGCGACAGGGGATGCACTTACCAAGGTCAAATCACGCATGTCCAACTTTCCAGCATCTTCATGAGACCGGTTTCAATCTATGCTCATCTCAAGGATGAGCACATGGTGCTCGTCCTTTGAGATGAAATTTGTATCATTTAAATTTTAATTTAAATAATTTAAATTTAATATATTATTATATATTATATTTATTAAAATAAAAATTTATAAAAATTATAAAATAATTTTAATAAATTTTTTATTTTTAATTTAGTCTAGATTTAATTTAGCAAATCTAATTTAATATTAAAATTTTTATAATTGATATATCTTGATTATCCATATACACTTTACATAGTAATTTATTAAAATTATTTTATAATTTTATAAATTTTTATTTTAACAAATATAATAATATTTTAAATATGGACCAAAATTGAATGGTCCAGACCTGATCCAAAAAATAAGCACCACGTGGTCTTCCTTCTTAGGATGAGCAGGAAACTCAATCCCATCTTTATATCTCGCAGAGAAAAACTCAACAACTACTATTCTTCTTCCTTTTTGCCTGTGACAAAACCATATTCGGCTATCTGCTCCACGAAAAACAATACAGTGGGCAAATTTTGACAAGTCAATGACGTGTAAAACTTGTGCAACACAACCAATAATTAAGCTATATAATACATCACTCTATCGTCTTCAAATTCAACGCACAGACAGCATAATCATCCATCCATCAATGGCGGATCAATGGAAAGCTCACTGTCTTCTAGTGGCCTATCCAGCACAAGGCCATATCAACCCAATGCTTCAATTCTGTAAGCGTTTGGAGCACCATAAAGTGAAAGCCACGCTTGTTACAACTCGTGCTTTTTGGAGAAGCGTTACCATTGAACTCACTTCGGATTCCAATATTGCTCTTGAAACCATATCAGATGGCTATGATGATGGAGTGGAAGAAGAAGCAGTTAAGAATCCAAAGATTTATGTACAACGCTTCTGGCAAGTGGGACCACAATCTCTCTCTGAGCTTATTGAGAAGCTTTCTGGAAATGGCTTTCCCGTTGACTGTGTCATTTATGATAGTTTCTTGTCCTGGGCTCTTGATGTGGCCAAGAAATTTGGACTTGTTGGTGCTGCATTTTTTACCCAAACTTGTGCTGTTAATTGCATATACTTCCATCTTCATCAAGGAATTCTGAAACTGCCAGTGAAGGAGAGTAAATTGCTTCCTGGTGTAGCAGAACTTGAACCTTCGGATCTGCCAACTTTTTTGTATCTTCAATATGGGATGCACCCTCACTTTTGGGATTTGCTGGTTGATCCTTTCTCCAACATTGGAAAAGCTGATTGGGTGCTTTCCAACACTGTTTATGACCTGGAGCAAGAGGTAAGTATGTGTTATCAAGAATTATTAATTGAAGTTATCAGCTTAATTAAATTGATATTGGCTTTGGATTTAAATTTTATTATCCTCTTTTATACAGTCTTTAACATCAATGCTTTGTTGAAAAATTGGATTCTGTCGTCTCTTTTACTAGACGCCTCTTTCTGATTGAGGCAGAACTTCAAAAGTATTCTCAACACTAATTTGCTAAATTTTTCTTAATTTGGTTCCTTCTTCAAAGACTCATGGATAGATGGTGTGTGCAAATTTCTTGTTTTGATCCACATATCTCAAATTGTCACTTCGTAGGATGGCCCTATGGACTATGAACCCCAACTCACTTTGACGAATTGATTTCAGGTGGTTGATTGGATGAAGAAGATGTGGCCAGTTAGGACTATAGGACCAACGGTGCCATCCATGTTCTTAGACAAGAGGATCCCTAATGATTATGACTATGGTATAAGCATGTTCAAACCCAGCAATGATCTTTGCATGAATTGGCTTAACAACAAGCCTAAAGCATCTGTTGTTTATGTCTCTTTTGGAAGTTTAGCATCTTATAGTGAGGAGCAAATGCAGGACCTAGCTTGGGGTTTGATAGATGCTGACACTTATTTCTTGTGGGTGGTAAGGGAATCTGAAGAGGCTAAGCTTCCAAGAAACATTCTAGAAACTACATCGAAAAAGGGTTTGATAGTGACATGGTGTCCCCAACTAAGAGTACTAGCACATGAGGCTGTGGGATGCTTTGTTACTCATTGTGGGTGGAATTCCACTTTAGAAGCTCTTAGCTTGGGAGTTCCAATGATTGGAGTACCATACTGGAGTGATCAAACCACAAATTTGAAGATTATTGTGGATGTTTGGAAGGTGGGACTTAGAGCTCCGAGGGATGAAAAAGGGATTCTAAGAAGAGAAACAGTGAAACATTGCATCAAGGAAGTTATGGAAAGTGGAAAAGGGAAAGAGATGAAGAATAATGCTATCAAATGGATGAATTTGATCAAGAATTCTATTGATGAAGGAGGAAGTTCTGATCAAAATATTGCAGAGTTTGTGGCAGCAATTTCTAACAAGTGAGCTTTATGATCTTTAGTGGGTCGTGCAAATAAAACTCTGTCAACAGAACATTTTGTGTCTGTTAGAATTTCAAGGAAATACTTTATCACTACTTCCATTAGACATGCCAATACACTTCAAATGTCAACCCCTGGATTGTTAGGCTATGAATCTCTGTTGTTGAAAGCTTTGAGTGGCAATAAAAATGATCTGCGTGATGTGTTGGGCATACTTTAATCAGACCTATAAAGACCACTCCAAAATGCTGCACAAATACATTTATAAGAGTAATTTTACCTCCTTGAATGTCCTGCTACGATTGTGAAGGGATTGAGAAATGTTCTGCTATGAATGTCCTGTTAAGATTTGAAAAATTATCCCATATGTTTTTATCACAAAAATTTGATGTTATTGAAGCTGTACGCATCACTCATCAAACTTTGTCATTTTGTTGGGGTTAAAATATAATTTTAATCCTCTAACTTTATATAAAATTTAAGTTTAGTTTTAATTTATTGTGATGAAACTAACAATATTAAAATTAAAAGATTGAAAGGACATTTTACAAAATTTAGCCTTATAATAAAATGGTCCAAAATTTAGCCTTACAAAATTTAACAGTATTAAAATCTTATATAAAATTAAAAGATTAAAGGTATATTTTTTTTAGCCTTTTGTTGGTGAATTAATTGAATATAATATAAATGCATGAACCAATAATAAAGAAATGGGAAACAAAAGTTTATCAGTAAGCACAAAAAGCTATAGTTGAGAAGACACAGACCAATGAAACCCTATTTTAGAAACATATAGTTACTTGGCAATGTCAACGAAACCTTTGAGATGTGTCTGAAACAATAAAAAGAAAGCAACATTCTAAATCCAAAGCTATCCGCAAGAACATTTTTTTTCTCCCACTTCTGCTCAAGTAATTCCTTGGCCAAATAAGGTCCCCTTACAAAAAATTCGAATGCCTTCATTATCCAAGAAACTAAATGTGGATTATTGATTCACCGTTGTAACTTGCGAGCAGGAAACAGCATATTAAATTTAAGAATAATGTTGGAAATTACTTCTGCCAAATGATTCTCCGTCCCTAGTGTTGCTTTTTAATACAAAAGGGGAAGCCAAACTTTATATGAAAATAACAGAAGCCTCGTCTATGCCAAGCTTATCAGAAATCACGAGTCCATGGCAGAACTCAGGACAGGATCGCAACAGCTGAAACTCATTGCCCAAGTTGTGGGCATTCCTCGCAATACAATCAGTAAAACGGATGAGCTCTCTGGGAGTATGACTGATGGAAATGCTCCAGTCACTGTAAATTAAGTCTCTACACTAATAAGAGATCTAAGGGGATGGCAGAAGCCACACTCTCAAAAAACCAGATTAATCGCCTCCAGTGAGTCTGAGAACACCTGAAAACAGTTGTTGATACCTTCCCCTTACAAAGACCCGTTCTGATAGCTAACAATTCAGCCTCCACAGTTGATCGTGATCCAATTTTCTGTTGGAAACCAAACATCCATTTGCCATGACTGTCACGGCAAACACCTCCAGAAGTTGCACATCCTCACTGGTTCACAAATGCATCCACATCAAGATGCGCAACCCCCCGGGTTGGAGGAGACCAACGATCCCCTGTGAAGTTTGAACCTTTGAAGATCTCATGTCTGTAAGTGTCACCATTTTTTGCTTCCATAATATGGAAAAGGCATTTATGAACTACATCCTGGGAACAGATAGTTGTCTCTTCAAATAATCTACTGCACGGAGATTTCCATAAATCCAGCAAACAAAACCAAAAAAAAAATCAGAACCATGGCCATTGTTTAACTCTGTTACAGCCAGGGCCATGTTTAGCATTCCACCAGATCCAACCCTGCAAATCAAGAGAAACAAATGCAGATATAATGTTAGGGCAAATAAAGCACTTCCACACAGATTTTGGTATCTCATAGTCACAAATGATGTGCATGACACTCTCCTCACTTTGGCAGTCAAATGGGCAAGTAAGGTCATTTGTAAATTCTCTCTTCGCTCCAAGGGAATTAGTAAGAACTCTTCCATGCACAACCTGCCACAAGAAGAACTTGACTTTTTCTGCGAGTGGCCATTTCCACAATTTAGTCCATATAGATTCATTTGGCCTGTTATGTTGTTTATGAATAACCTTATAAGCTGACTTCAACGCAACTATTTGCTTCTCTATATACGTGATCAAAGTGACCACCCAGTTTCTCAGTAAGATCTCTAATTTTTTTGATCGTGTTGAATAAAGGATGATCTCCAGAATAGCTGTGATTAATAAGTGACAGAGCCTCCATTGAGTTTGAGTAGACGTTGACATTGTTAAATTTGTGATTCCAGCAAAGGTTGAGGCCTTCGTAGATTCCCATGAGTTCTTTAGTAGAGTTAGGGTGGTAGCCGAGAAATTTGTGGAAGCTTTTAATCCAATTACTCTTGTCGTCTCTAATAATACCTCCACAAGTAGCAGTTCCATTTGTGCCAACAGAGCCATCAGTGTCGAGTCTAACCCATCCAGGATTTGGAGGGTTCCATTTGATTTCATATCTAAAGACTCTTTGGTTCAAGTGCTTAATTTGGAGAGAAGCTTTAGATCATTGTTAATTTGTTGAGTGCTGGAAAAAGCGATATCATTATCATGTGTATTATCTTCAGAGAAGAGTTTCTTGCATCTAACTTTTCAAATGTTCCAGCAAGTTTGAGCAAGAAATCCTTGCCAAGTGTTCTTTTTGTATTCCGATTACCGGCTTCATTCCTTGCATTTCAAAGTATCCAGTCCTGCAATTCCAAAGAAAAGAAGGTGTACAGTTTTGTAGGATTGACTAAGTTAATCCATACCTTTTTAACTTCTTCACAATCTCTCAAAATATGAATGAAAGAATCAAAGCAGTTACAACCAAAAGGACAGGAGCGTTGTTGTAGAGGATGTCCATTGGCCTGCGCGTAGTCATTTTGTAGGCGATTCCAAGTAGCCTTCTAAAGGAAGTATTTAATTTTTTCATATGTGGGGCACTTCCAAATTTTTGACCAAATATTGCAGTGATTTGATCACCCATGGTGGTAGAATAAATCTCCAAGCAGAAACATTCCATTGACCGGATGGGAACACATGTTGTCTAACCGCAACATTGAGGTTGATTCTGTAATTTGCTCTGTCCACATCATGAATCAAAGGTTGTTCTAGATTCAGCCAGGAATCCACCCAGAACTTAGTGCTCAGAATACCACAGACCATTCTTCGAATACCCTGTTGCTAATTCTCCATTTCCACACATAAAGATTGTATGTGTTATACATCTGCCCAAATAATTTCAATCCTTCCAACCGAAACCGAAACCTGATTTATAGAAGACTATCATATTAGCTTCAGGCAACAGAAAGACAAATCCCAGTGCGAAGAACAAGCATAACCACAATAAGAAATTCAATGACAAATCAAGTGCATGTATTTTCTCCTCGTATAGAAAGGAATAAGAAGCAGTTCGGTTTGTGAAGAAGAGCAACAGTGGTTCGATTACAACCTCCGTCTTGGTTAGCAGTGCAGTGTTTGTCGGCATCCAGTCAACGAAGTCCGTCGGAGCAGCTCCTCATGTGCCGACGTCTTCTCGATTGTGGGTGAAGAAGACAACTGTCAACTCCATGCAATTTTTACACACACCCAGACGCTTCACGGCGGAGAAGAGGGTTGAGAAGACGATGAAGCTCCCTCCATGCTTCACGGCGATGAAGTCCGGACACCGACGCATGGGCTCTAAAATTGATTAAGTATTTTGGAAGTGGAAGGCCGTACTGATTTTCCCTTCACTCGACCTAAGAGAAACGGAAATGGAATTGGAATCACGGCGATGGTTTGGTATACATTAATTCATATTCTCATGGAATCCCATTCTGCCAAAATACCTAGAATCCAATTCCACTATTATCACGATGGAATTGGGCTAATACCAGAGAATTTCCATCGCTGCCTCCATGCTGACTCACCATAGCAGTACTACGCATCACCCTCGCTACTCCTCATACGATCGCCTAACCAACGCCGTCTCGCCCACTCCACCGCTCCTCCTCCTGCCGCCCCGCCCTTCATCCATATTTACTTCGCATCGCATCGGAAAGGCAGTTTCCAGTGACTTCCCAAAGATACCATCATCTCGGTCTCTCATCTCAATTCCCAACACTGGCAAATCTCGTGATTCTGCCGTTCACCACTGTTCGTCTATTACGATTAGATTTCTAGGTTTCATCTCCGCCGTTCCACGCTCAGATTGATGAAGAAGAGGAGACTGAAGGAGCAAACGTCTTTGCTCCATCTTCTTCGCATTTCGATCTTTCATCCTCGTTCATCTTCTTCGCCGTTCGAACTTCGCCTTTTTTATGCTTTCTTCTAGCTATGGATTTTTGCTTTCGATTTCCTGGAATTTATTTTTGGTTTTGTAGTTTATTTTTCAGGAAGATGTGGGGAAAGAAAAATTAAAATATTTAAAATTTTCTCCATTTTAGTCTTAAAATTTCTCACAAGTGTTTTTAGGTGAAGAAAAAGTTTAGTTATGTATATTCAAAGATATTAATAAAATCTCCACATTAGTCTTATAAATTATAAGATAAATCTTTACCAATTAGATCAATTTATATTAACTCATGATATCTCAATCTTTTTAATTTTAACTTTGTTGATAATATTGAAAGGAAAAAAAATAACAAGAAAAAAAAAAAAAACAATATCAATTAGAGCAACATGCTGATGAACATCTCTCAATTATGGAGTGAAACCATGAGCCACGAATCTTTGGGGTCATACAAATGAGGTGGGGATTAAGTTAATCGTGATATCTAAATACCTAACCATTAACCCTCTATATAAACTTAGGCTAACAAGAAGATTGACAAGTAATATTTTAACAAATTCAAAACAAAAAAGCCCTTATAATTTTTTTGATTTGGTATAAGTCAGTTTTTATAATTCATTAAATCAATGAAAGATTAAAACTAACTTAATAATTGAGAGTTTAGCACTAAAAATTATACTATCTTAAAATATACAAGTCAGTGATGTACTGAGTGTGACATAAATGTTAGTGATCTAACTCTTTAAGTATCATTCTCAAATTTAATTTTTGAAAGTTTGTATGGACATCATGACTTGGGATAGAACAACCTCTTAAATGGCACTTATATTTTTTAAAAAATTAGTTTCATACTTGCCAATTATAGGA